GTGATGCCATGGCACTCTACCCAGGGGGATAGCTTGAGGCTCCGTCTCAAAAAAAAATAAAAAAATAAAAAATAAAAAAAAAAATAAAAATAGAGAAACTAAGATTGCTTGAGTCCAAGAGTTGGACGTTGGTGTGAGCTATGATGCCATGGCACTCTACCTAGGGCAAGAGCTGGAGACTATCTCAAAACAAACAAACAAACAAACAAAAACTAAGGTCTGATCAAGGCCAGGTATGGTGGTTCACACCTGTAATCCTAGCACTCTGGGAGGCCAAAGGCAGGTGGATTGCCTGGCTCAGAACTCTGAGACCAGCCTGAGCAAAGCTAGACCCCATCACTACTAAAAATAGAAAAACTAGCCACGCAGCCCCGGCCAAACCGCAACAAAAAAATAGCTGGGCGTTGTGGCAGATGAATCACGTAGGCCCAGGAGTTGAGGTTACTGTGAGCTATGTGATGCCACAGAACTCTACCAAGGGTGATAAAGTGAGATTCTGTCTCCAAAAAAAAAAAAAAAAGCTGGGTATTGTCTAGGGCACCTATAGTCCCAGCTACTCTGGAGGCTGAGACAAGAGAATCATTTGTGCCCAAGAGTTTGAGGTTGCTGTGAGCTATGATGCAGAGCACTCTACCCAGGACAATAAAATGAATACTCTGTCTCAAAAAAAAAAGGTTTCTGATCAAGCCTCTACCCTCCTTGACACATGTCTTAATCACATCTGGTAATGGACACATTACCCAAAGCAGTTTCATTCTTAGGCAACTTTGTTTACTAAAAAAACACTCTTTTTTTTTTTTTTTTTTTTGAGACCGAGCCTCAAGCTATCCCCCTGAGTAGAGTGCTGTCGCATCACAGCTCACAGCAACCTCCAACTCCTGGGCTCAAGCGGGTTTCCTGCCTCAGCCTCCCGAGTAGCTGGGACCACAGGCACCTGCCACAATGCCCAGCTATTTTTTGGTTGCAGACATCACTGTTGTTTTGGTGGCCTGGGCTGGATTTGAACCCGCCACCTTAGGTATATGTGGCTGGCGCCTTAGGCCACTTGATCCACAGGTGCCGAGCCTAAAAAGTCACTCTTTACCAGTGATCCCAAACCCCTTCATTGGGACTAAGGGTCTCAATTCCCACCTGGAGTACAGAATAGTAAAAGGACTGTAGTTTCCTACAGTCCAGGGCAGTGCCTGTGGCTCAGTGGGTAGGGCTCCGGCACCATATACCAAGAGTATGGGTTTGAGCCTGGCCCAGGCCAAACTGCAACAAAAAATAGCCAGGGCATTATGGTGGGTGCCTGTATTCCAGCTACTGGGGAGGCTGAGGCAAGAAAATTGCCTAAGCCTAAGAGCTGGAGGTTACTGTAAGCTGTGATCCCACAGCACTCTACCAAGGGCGACAAACTAAAACTGTCTCACAAAAAAAAAAAAAAAAAAAGAAAAGAAAAAAGAAACTATAGTCCAGAGGCCAAATCTGCAAACCTGGTTATTTTTTGCTTTTTATGACACATAAATTAAGAATGTTATTTCCAGGCTGGGTGCAGTGTCTCACACCTATAATCCTAGCACTCTGGGAGGCCAAGATGAGCGGATTGCCTGAGCTCAGGAGTTTGAGACCAGCTTGGGCAAGAGAGAGACCTGCTCTTTACTAAAAGAGAAGCAAGAGGATTGCTTCAGCATAGGAATCTCAAGTTGCTGTGATATATGGCCACGGCATTCTACCCAGGGCTACAGAATGAGATTCTGCCTAATAAATAAGTAATTCTCTTGCCTCAGCCTCCCAAGCAGCTGGGACTATAAGCACCCGCCACAATGCCTGGCTATTTTTTTTTTAGAGACAGAGTCTTACTTTGTCACCCTTAGTAGAGTGCTGCTGCATCACAGCTCACAGCAACCTCCAGCTCTTGGGCTTAGATGACTCTCTTGCCTCAGCCTCCCGAGGAGGTGGGACTATAGGCGCGCGCCACAATACCCGGCTATTTTTTTTGTTGTTGTTGCTGTTGCAGTTTGGCCAGGGCCAGGTTTGAACTTACTACCCTTGGTATATGGGGCTACTCACTGAGCCATAGGTGCTGCCCACCGGCTATTTTTTGTTGCAGTTTTGGCTGGGGCAGGGTTCGAACCCGCCACCCTCGGTATATGGGGCCGGTACCCTACTCACTGAGCCACAGATGCTGCCCCTTCTCTTTCTTTCTTTTTTTTGAGACAGAGTCTCACTATGTCGCCCTGAGTAGAATGCCATGGTATCACAGCTCACAGCAACCTCCTGCTCTTGGGTTTAGGCGATTCTCTTGCCTCAGCCTCCCAAGTAGGTGGGACTATAGCCACCCACTACAATACCTGGCTATTTTTTTGTTGCAGTTGTCATTGTTTAGCTGGCCCACGCTGGTTTCGAACCCACCACCCTTGGTGCATGTGGCCAGTACCATAACCACTGTGCTATGGAAGCAGAACCAATTTTTGTTTTTGAGAGTTTCTCACTCCATTGCCCTGGGTAGAGTACAGTGGTGTCATAGCTCACAGCAATAAAAATTCTTAGATTCAAGTGATCCTCTTGTCTCAACCTCCCAAGTAGCTGGAACTACAGAATCCCACCATAACGCCTGGCTAGTTTTTCTATATATTCTTTAGTAGAGATGGGGGTCTCAATCTTGCTCAGACTGGTCTCAAATGCCGGAGCTCAAGCAATCCTTCCACCTCAGCCTCCCAAAGAACTAGGACTATAGGCGTGAGCCACCATGCCTGGCTTGTTTTTTCCATTTTTCAAAGGTTCAAAATAAATCAAGAGAATAACACAGCTGTCCCTCAGTATCTATGGGATATTAGTTCCAGGATCCTCCGAAGATACCCATATCCACAGATGCACAAATCCCTTATATAAATGGTATAGTATTTGCCTATAACCATCCTCCCATATACATTAATGTTGCAACTGCTCAACTGCAAATCCTTTTTTAGAGATAGAGTCTTGCTCTGTTGCCCAGGCTAGAGTGCAGTTAACATGATCATAACTCGAAACCTTGAATTCCTGGCTTTGAGCAATCCTCCCACCTTGGTCTCCCAAAGTGCTGAGATTACAAACTTGAGCCATTGTGCCAGGCCTCTCCCATATATTAATACTTTAAATCATTTCTAGATTATATATAATACCTAACACATATGCCTACACCTCACTTTATTTGTATAGATTCAATGTAGTATTCAGCACATGGTAAATACAAGTTTTCCTTTTGGTACTTAGCAGATTTTTTTTCCCTTTCCTTTTCTTTCTTTCTTTTTTTTTTTTAAGAGATAGAGTCTCACTTATGCTCACTCTTATTGCCCTTAGTAGAGTGCCAACAACTTTGAGTAACAGTTCACAGCGACCTCCAACTCCTGGGCTTAGGCAATTCTCTTGACTCAGCCTCCCAAGTAGCTGAGACTGCAGACGCCCACCAAAACACCCAGCTATTTTTTTGTTGCAGTTTGGCCGGGGCTGAGTTCCAACCTGCCACTCTTGGGGCCAATGCCCTACCCACTGAACCACAAGCACTGCACCATAAATAAAGTCTTATTAGAATGCCACTAGGCTTTTTCTTTCAAACTTCTGCATTAAAGGGAACCTCTTGTCTTAGCTTCCCTAGTAGCTGGGACTATAAGCACCTGCCACAATGCCAGCTAATTTTTCTATTTTTAGGAGAGACAGGGTCTTGCTCTTGCTCAGGCTAGACTGAAACTCCCAAGCTCAAGAGATCCTCTTACTTCTGCCTCCCAGAATGTTGAGATTATAGGCTTAAGCCACTGTGCACCCCCCAATCCTCCACCCATTCATTTTGATATTTTTTATGGTTATTTTATACTACAATAGCAGAGTTGAGCAGTTGCAACAGAAAGCACAAGACCTGGCTCGGCGCCTGTGGCTCAAGTGGCTAAGGCGTCAGTCACATACACCTAAAGTGTCGGGTTCAAATCCAGCCTGGGCCTGCCAAACAATGATGGCTGCAACCAAAAAAATAGTCAGGCGTTGTGGCAGGTGCCTGTGGTCCCAGCTACGTGGGAGGTGGAGGCAAGAGACTCGCTTGAGCCCAGGAGTTGGAGGTTGCTGT